GAGAAATAAAAAAAAAAATATATATATATATATCCTTGATTTTTGTTTGCCGTTTGATAAACATGGGGAGACTAAACGAAAATAACGAAATTCCAGCGATCAGCAGCAGAATATAAACAATAGGTTTCAATAGCCAGCCTGCTATTGGCTATTGGAAATTGCAATAGCAGGCTGGCTATTGTGCCCGCCCAATGAGCAGGAGGAACGGGCCGGAGAGATAACTTTCTCTCTAACAGCCTGGCTATTGCTCCCGGCTGCTGACATTCACCTATTGGCTGGGAAGCTAGGGGGAGGTTGCTTCGGAGTTACTACTAACGCTCAAGCAACTAGAAACTACAATTACCCGACACCTACCGAACCCCGTGGGTGCCGGATAACTGGGAGTTTACTGAAAATATATACATTAGTGCAGGATTGGGCTAACTCCGGCCCACCAGCCATTGTTGAACTACAAATCCCATGAGGCCTTGCAAGATTCTCAGACACAGGCATGACTCCCAGAGACAGATGCATCATGGGATTTGTAGTTTCACCCCAGCTGGAGGGCGGAGTTTGCCCACCCCTGCATTATACAGATGATATACACTAGTGACAGAAGACTTGGATGCTAAAGAGACACATTGATGCTGAATGTATAGTGTATTCATTGGGACATACCTCAGTTCATGGGTAAGATGCGCTGTGATTCGAGACCCAGATGCGGCCAGGGGATGGCCCAGCGCTATGGCTCCTCCATTTACATTTGTCTTTTTAGGATCTAGCCCTAGAGCCTTCTCCACTGACAAGTACTGAGCAGCGAAAGCCTCATTAACCTGGGTACACAAGACATTAGAAAGAGTTTAATCCAGGAGAATGACAAATGGCCAGATACACAAGAGATGTAACACCTTATTCATGGAGTGACAGTATAACAGTATTGATCCAAACCACCAAGAAAAGCCGTCCCTTTATTGAAGGCAAAGTCCACTTTTTTTCAAAGAAAATAAATAAATACACAAAAAACACGTCCTCATAAAAAAATACGTGGCTTTATTATTTTTTGCATTGGAACCACAATTTTTGTGTTAAGATCTACTTTTCAAATGACGAGCTACATGAGATCTCCAACAAAAAAAACTCCCTCGCTCTCTCTCTCCTGGCTGTCTCTCCATTCTCTCTTGGCTGTCTTTCCTCTCTGTCCTGGCAGGCTTTCCTCACTCTCTCTCCCCTGGCTGTCTCTCTTTGCTCTCTCCCCTGGCTGTCTCTCCTCTCTTTCCTGGCTCTCTCTCCTTGCAAACAATGTAGTGCAACAGGCTGTGTAAACTAATATTCTTTGATGTACTACAACCACCAGAATCCACCAGAAAGGTGTCGGGAGCTCGGCTCAGCAGACTCGGGCTAATAGGTAATCATGTGTGCACAGCTAAATGAATATACCAAAATGGAATAAAGGGGCCGCCATTCACACCCTTCCTGATCTACCAGCATCAGCTTTGAGCATCTACCCAATGGGCACCCCTGCACTAAAGCATTCAAAATGTGATCAGTGGATTGTGGGTGCAATGCTACGGCTCCTGCAGACTCTCCATCTTGTCCATGTCCGTACCAAGGTAGCCAGGGGTAGGGGAGCTAGCTGGAGGTCATATCAGAGAATGAGGTCACCTGCACTGGACTGGGTGGTATAGAGGCAGCAGTGAAGTTGCATGAGAATGGCTGCAGTAGTAGTGTGCAGGTTAGATGGGGATGTTGAAAATCAGAAGTATAGAGAAGGGCAGCAACATCTGGAATATCAGACAGATTGGGAGAAGATTACAAGGGTGTTGGAGAGCAGCTGCCAATCACTAGATGTGATGTACCACTCAAAGCATTGGAACACTTATTTCTTTATTATAGATATTTATATAGTGCTGACAATTTACAAAGCACTTTACATACTGAAACCCGAGTACCCGGAGGGAACCTACGCAAGCACAGGGAAAGCATGCTCCTTGCAGATAGTGACCTGACTGGGACTACACTGCTGCACATACACTGCAGTTCATTGTAGATCGACAGACACCATTTATTTTAAAGGTCTGCTGCACCACGGCTGAGCTGCACAAATGTAATAAATGGGATTTCTAAAAAGGGTGTATTAAAAAGGATTTAAAAAATCCCTCAACACCTCTATCCACAGCCTAAGGAGAGTCATGCAACACCAAATACCTCGGAGGTTTTCTCTTTATGGCAAAAAATTTTGTATTCTGGTAACTGTACGGGATTAATGGGGGGCAGGCTTATAAAGCATTATTTGGTGAATGCACGGTATGCATGTATGTAATCCCTGGCAGGGTCATGGGGATCCTATTAGGGATGCACCGATACTAGTATCGGTGTTGATGCAGAGTATTTGGGCGAGTACTCTTACTCGCCCAAAATGCTCCGATGCCCAGCCAGATACTTCCGGTATCAGGAAGCCAGGCAGCGTGTAATGACGCGCTGCCTGGCTTCCTGATTGATCGGGAATCTGGCTCCATGCTCCCTTGTTACAAGTGACGAGGGAGCATGGAGCCGGCTTCCCGGCCAATCAGGAAGCCGGGCAGCGGGTAATTACACGGCGCCCGGTTTCCTTAATGGGACTTCCGGTATCGGTGAGTACCAAAAACAAAATATCCGTCCTCGTACTCGATACCGAAATACCAGTATTGGTGCATCCCTAGATTCTATGATCAGGGCTCAACATTTCAAGTCCTGAGCTACTAGCCACCAGTTGCCCCACCTAACCCTTACCCTGCCCCGGCCTTAACTCCGCCCCTAAACACACCCTCTCAAATAATCTTACGATAATTCTTATCTTACCATAGTTGCCACTTGTAAACGGCAGATTAGGGATTCCTGCTGCAGGAAAACGCAAGTTCCTGACACAGGAATCTCTAAATCACACCTGAAATATACTGTAGGTGTGAATGGGGCCTAATATACACATTCACTAAAGGTGTCCATACACCTGCCGATTATCGTACGATAGTTGTGGGTGATCCCTCGATCGTACGATAATCGGCAGGTGTATGGGCTTTTCTACTGTAAGGTCGTACGACTTTCGTCTTCCGAGCACGCTGAAAAACCTGACGAAAATCCTACGATTTTCGGCGGGTTGGAAGACGAATGCCGCACGGGCCGGTGTGCGCACACTGCCCGCTCAGCACTGCAATCTTTGGAAGCCCTCCTCTCAGCGGGGCGGGCTTGCGATGATCGCAAGTACGATGACCTTACAACCATCGCATAACGAAAGTCGTGCGATGGTTGTAAGGTGTATGGGCAGCTTAAAACACAATACACTGCTCAACAACGTTACACCCCCCACCCCCTGCACAAATATAATAATAAAATTCCCCCACAAAGCAGACCTCTGCAGCAGACCTCACTAATCACCACCAGATAACCAGGGATCGATCCTCCTCACATACATTCTTTCTTTTGGCTGGAGCTCAGAACTGTCAGAGCTCTGGCCGAAATAAGCCAGAGCTGACAGGAGCTGCTCTGCATCCGACACAGATGCAGACCGTGGAGCTGCCCCCGCAAGTCAGGTACGCGGTGTGCGACCGTGTGCCTGACATGTCAGCTGGCCACATAGTACCGGCTCGCAGGCCGGAGTTGGCACGCGGACCGGTACTTGGAGACCCAAATTTTGAGCCCTGCTATGATACACAGTAACCACAAATATTCCTGTAATACATTGCAGCCAGAGCTACTACAGTGTATTACAGTGTCTTCCGGGTCCAACTACAGCCTCTATGCTGAGCAACTTCCCTGTAGGGTGGTGACATCAGGGCTCTGCCCCTTATACAGTCGGAGAATGTCTTGTATTCATTTAGAAAAATACTAGGCACCTAGAATGGCTGCTCTGAATAGCGAGCAACTCTGTTTCCACAACACAGGGAAGTCCCTCAGCATAGCAGTTGTCTCAGGACCTGGAACACACTGTAATACGGTGTAGTAGCTGCAGCCACTATGGTGTATTAAAAAGGATCCCCATGACCCTGTCAGGGATAATATACGACATATATGATGCAGGCTGCCAGTTACGTTAAAGCAGATACACACACACACACACACACACACACACACACACACACACTAGCAGTGTACTTCCTGGAGGCTGTGCTGTACAAGTCTTCTCTCTCCATTTCCTGTATCGACAATCACATTCAAAACATCCAAGGCAGGACTAAATCTCTTTGGCTGTCAAACTTTTTGGAATTATTTTTAGAACAGGGTTTCTGTATGCAAGAGGCCGCAAGAGGAGTGTTCCATTATCCCCAGCAGGTGCGCTCCAGGATCACCCAATTACAGGCAAAGGGTTTGGGGTAGGCTACTGTAGTTGAACAATGTCCATTTCCATTTTTTGCGGTGCGTTAGCATGCATTGCATTAAGGCAGCCCAACGAAATTAATAAGCTGCCAACACACCCTGATTTTTTGTAATGCAACACCCTACTGTGTGTTGTAATGCTCTGCAATGCAGGTGTGTTGCCTTGGAGAGTTGGGGTGCCATTTAAAATGAATGTAGTGTACACCACTGACACACACACAGCTCAGGAGTGTGGAATGTCACAGACAGACATTTCTTTATGTGTGGGAAATGGTTTTTGATGCAGCACAACGGGGCCTATGTTCTCAGAGAATGTATGAAATGCATGGATGGTGAAGATTGTACAGAGCCCTCTCTTTATTCTTCATGGTGCTGCTGCATTCTATATGTTTAGTTACAAGTACTTTAAGTGTATGTAAACAAATATATAATGCTTTAGATGTGGTGGCTGCATTAGTTTTCTTTTGACCCGGTGATCCAGTCAGCAACACATTTTCTGTCCTGGGGATGACAACACACACACTGTATTGCATCTATGAAGGAGCAGTGTGCTCACCCTAGGACAGGAACTGTGTTAGGACTACAGAACACCACCTGCTCTCCTCTGTTTCCATAGCGTAGATCTTAAGTAGTTCAAAAAGGGTGAACTGGGCAAGGCTGATAACACTGCCCGAGATCGCAGGGCTGCACAAGCAGAGAGTACAGGAAGTCAGGAGCTCAGTCTCCTCCGATCACTGGACCCAGAAGTGATGTGCATTACATCACTTCCGGTGTCACGATGCACATTCTCCGTGTCTCGGAGCCAGGAGAGGAAGCAGATCTCTGCCTCATCAGCTTCTTTGGGGTCCTTAGGTGACATTAGGGGTCTGAAAGACCCCTGATGTCTCCATAAAGGAGGACCTGTCGGGGGCTTGTTCGCTTGTAAAAAAGTAAAGTAACAAATAAAATAATTTTTTTTGTAAAGTCCTCCGCCCCCCGATGCGCACGCACATACAACGCAAACATGCGCCAGGTGCGCCAACATGCAAAAATGAAAATTGCACCACACGTTACATATCGCCGCGAACGCCGGAGCGAGAGCAATCATTCTAGGGCCAGCAATCACTGTTAACACTGAACTGATGAGCAGTTAAAGCGTTGCCTATGGGAAATTTGGGCGAACTGTTCACGGGCGAACAGTTTTAAAGCTTTACATGTTTGGTATCTATTTACCCGGCGTGACCCCCATCTTTTAGATTTTACCAAAAAAATTGGGTGTTATATTCGGTTTCTGTGCACTAAATTTCATTTAACCGTATTTTATCCTAAAAATACTGGTCTGATAAACATTTGCACAAATACTGTGCTAAATAAAAAAATGCAACTAGCATATTTTTATTCTACTGGGCCTCTGCTTTCAGAACATATATCATTGTTTGGGGGCCTGAAGCTGTTTTCTACCCAAAAATTTAGATTTTATCATGTGTGCGCAAATAGTAAGAAATTGCTCTGGACAGCAAGGGGTTAAAGGGGGGGGGGGAATTCTACAATCATTAGTGGTCATTGGCACCTGCTGAAATCCTCTTTCCACTGTTGTCAATGGACTGAACTTTTATAAACACTGCCAGTGTTTACACCGGTGATGGTTTGTATTGGTTCATGGCGATCACAAGGTACAAAGCGACCCCGATTGGCTCTATACCTTGTGCTCGTGATCTGAGCTGTTCAATGACAACTTGATCACAGCCACTGGTCATCCGGGTCTGTTTTCTGCATCGCTATTTTTAAATGGCACACCAGAAAATATCTTCTACCTCTCCGCCATTATTATGTTTTACAATACAGTGGTATTGAGATGGTTATGAAAAAGAAAAAAAGCTGATCCAAGATGTTAACTTGATGTAATCTACCGTAGATGTCGGAAAGGAAGGAAGAGAATGGAGGAGGATGTTTCTTACCTATGCCCATGATCTTGGGCTCACATCCAGAAACATGGTAGGCTACGATCCTGGCGAGCGGGGTGAGCTTGTGCTTTGTAACGGCTTCTTCGCTGGCCAAGATGAGAACTCCGGCTCCATCGGAAACACCCTGGAACAAGAATAATAGAAATATTGCAGTGTGTGATCACCCAGGTATGATCTACACATTATTATTAGACTGTTTTTCTGAGATGTGTGGTGTAGAAGTTATCCCCGACCCACACACGGCTCCTGAAATCATCAAAGGCTCTGCTAAACCATAAAGAATGTATTCAGTAATGATAGCCAAGTGCAGCAACCAATCAGAATGTACTTTTCTGATGTCAGGCCACCACATAATACTGTCTGGGTGTTAGTTGCTATACTACATCTGACATATTAAACTTTTGCAATAGTAACCAAAAGCTGGCACCCTCAGACAGCTCCTCATAACTTTGACCTCCTTTCTTATGTTCTGGGTATCCTGGGAAGCTCATGTTCCACCCCTGGTGCCTTTCCTGGCTAATTCGTTACCAAGCACGCCAGTTACCTTTAAGCACATCGCCGGGTCCCCGAAACATAGAGCACTCTGATATACAAACACCGTCAGAAACAAAGCGGATAACTGGCACGTCCCCCTCCCAACTCTGCTTAACTAATGGTTCTTACAGCCAAATTTCAGATCCACCCAACACCCATCAGACTTCTCACTAACCCCCTTCCTGGTAGGGAGGCGAGTTAGCCAGTCATTGACTTTCCCTTAACAGTATTTGAATATTAAAAGCAGCACATGGTTTTTGGTTTTGGTGCTCAGCAGCTGTTCTTCAATGGCGATAGGTAAACTCATTATCCAATTGTGAGGCCTGCACGGCAGACGAGCCAGTGACTTCTGTCACATTTACATTTTAATGTGCCCTATGCTTTGGGGGCCTGGGGCACTGGACATGCAGCTCAGGAGGTAGAAGGGGGCCTGGGGCACTGGACATGCAGTTCAGGCGGTAGAAGGGGGCCCGGGGCACTGGACATGCAGTTCAGGAGGTAGAAGGGGGCCCGGGGCACTGGACATGGAGTTCAGGAGGTAGAAGGGGGGCCTGGGGCACTGGACATGCAGTTCAGGAGGTAGAAGGGGGGCCTGGGGCACTGGACATGCAGTTCAGGAGGTAGAAGGGGGCCCGGGGCACTGGACATGCAGTTCAGGAGGTAGAAGGGGGGCCTGGGGCGTCAGTTGATTCTGGTTACAGTTTTACACTAATTGTCAGCCAGGAAGAAATATTTTTAAAATGAGCAATTTTATTGCATGAGGCCAATAAAGACTTCAAATCAAACATCACACTCGAGCTCCTATACCTAGAGCTAGGCCTCTGCTTTCATCAACTAAAACTACAGTTCTCGTGGCTCATGTGCTGTGATTTTCATTAACAGCATTTTAATGGAGCCAAGCATGCGTGACAGAACAATACTATTCATTGTTGGGATTACACTGACTCCATCTATATAATCTGACACAAAGTGTTCCTTACCGAGGCGTTCCCAGCCGTCACCACTCCATCCTTCTTGAACACTGACGGCAGTTTGGCCATTTGCTCCAGGGTGGTCTGGGGTCTCGGGTGCTCATCTTGCTCCATTTTTACAAGTCCTTTCTTTGTTTTGATTTCAATCGGGGCCATTTCTGCTGTGAAGTATCCAGCGTCCTGAGCTGAACACATAACAAAAGCCAAGAGGTTACACTACGAGGGGCAGGAAATGGAGTTAGAACCGTTTCATACAAATAGTCCCTGGGCATCATGTGGGAAAAACTTTGCAGACCCCAGACGGCCACATTTACTATATCACCAAAGGCATTGTAGTTACCCACAAGTACACAACACAATGATACAAAGGTCACCTTTAAGGGTTAACGTAGACACTGATGTGATCAAGCAGCAATCTGAACATTACTAGGACTGGTCTGAGAATATAATCTTACTTCACGGGGATGTCAGAATGTCGGAGAGGGTCCCGTCTGCAAACAAAATGAGGTTTCACAAATGACTCACCAGCTTTCCACCTCTGCTGGCTCTGGTAGCCGTAGTTGTCACAGTCCTGCCTGGAGATTCCATATTTTTCAGCCAGGTTCTCAGCTGTGATGGCCATGGGGGTCTTTATTAGGGAATCAGTAAGCCCAGCCCAGAGAGTATCTTCCATTTCCTGCTCATGGCATTGCTTTCTCATTTTTTACAACACTGGGATCTATGTGATCAGAGCAGGACATCAAACGGAACACTGTTCTCATTCAATCTGGTCAGTTTCGATGCCTCACTAGCTGAATTCCGATCATTGTTAGCCTCCGTGTGGCTTAAACGAAGCCAGTGAAAAGGCAGCCAGTGTGATGTCTGGTTCCAGCATTGCCTTTTGTGTGGGAACAGTGTGGCAGCCAATGCATTTTGGAACATAGGACTGCTGCACAGCATGGACTCATGTCAAGAGGCTGTACTCCACTCCAGAAGTTCATGAAAAAACAAACACCTCACTATATATTGTGGGTACACAATTTTAAGCTAAATTAAGGAACCACCACATCTGAATCTCTGGGAGATGTTGTAGAGTCAAACCACCAAATGGCGCATGTATAAAGTCACTCGCACTCCAATAGAATTGCAAGTGAAAAACGGTTTATTGACTCGATCACATCATATAGCAACGTTTCGGAACAACAGTGGTTCCTTCTTCAGGCAAACACATACCGTTTGCCTGAAGAAGGAACTGCTATTGTTTCGAAACGTCGCTATATGATGCGATAGCAATCGAGTCAATAAACCGGTTTTGACTTGAAATTCTATTGGAGTGCGAGTGACTTTATACATACACTTATCTTGGATTGCTGGAGGTATTTGCAGTCACTTTGGCACCCACTCAACTCTAAGGGTATCATTCGGTCAGGAGTGCGATGGGTACACTGGATTTTAAACCACCAAATGGTTCGCATATCTGTCAAGGACTTCAGAAACCGGATTCCCAGCCCTGAGCACCGTCTGCGGCCATTACAAAGAGTCTCGTTCTCCCAGATTCATTCTTAGTTAATGTTTATCATGAAGAATGCAGTAGGTGGTAGTGGAGACTCGCCAAGCTGGCCAGGAACTCCAAACACTAAATGAGAAACTATGGCCAAGAGATCTTCTCAAAAAGAGATACACTGTATGGCTCAATGTTTGTGGACACCGGAACATCTCACCTACCTATATGGCCAAAAGTTTTGAACACACCTTCAAATTAGTAAGTTAAAGTGGAACTTAAGTCAGGTTATTTAAACTAAGGATGCACCGATACCAATACTAGTATTGGTGCCAATACTGAGTATTTGGGAGAGTATTCCTAGTCGCCCAAATGGTCCGATACTTATCCCCGATACCGGAACTTCCAGTCAGAGGAATATTTCCTCTGACCGGCAGTGCCGTAGAGGGAACATAGAGCCAGCTTCCCGTGCGATCAGGAAGCTGGGCGGCAAGTAACGACCCGCCTCCCTGATTGGAAGGGAAGCCGGCTCCTTGCCAATCAGCATTGAGGCGAACAAACAAGCGGCTCAATGCCGATTGGCTGGAAAGCCGGTTTCCCAGCCAATCATAATCCAGCCGGCCAAACATGGAGCCAGCTTCCCAAGCAATCAGGAAGCCGGGGCGGCATGTAATTAGCCTCCGCCTGGCTTTCTGATTGTCGGCTCCATGCCAGCAGAAGCACCGGTATCAGTACTTTGGATCGGCGAGTACCGACAGCAAAATACCGGTACCGTACTCGATACATTGCTGGCAGGTAGGCTTTTATTCCAGGAAGACAGACCAAGTAAAGCTTCTGTTGTTTCAGCTAGCAATGTTTGTAATTCATGAACTTTCGGCATGAGCACGCGTGGGAGTTATGTCATCCCAAGATGGCCAATGAAGATGGACAAAATGCAGAACCGTGAAGAAGACCAGATGAACATGTCAGTGCTATGACAAGAGACTGCTGCTGTTGCAGCGCTGGAGGGGTCCCCCTGGCAGGTATGTTGGCCAGAGTGTGCACATTAGGACTAAATGCCCACCCACCATGATGCAGAATTTGTTCTGCTTTGAGATGTTTCCCGGGAAGGCTGCTGGTAATGCTACAGAATACAATGACATTTAAGACAAATGGAAGCATCCAACCTTGGAACAAAAGTTTAGGGGGCATGCCATTTTCTGTTCCAGCAGGATTGTTCCCCTTGTGTACAAAGCCAGCTCCATAAAGACATGGGTTGAGGAGTTTGGTGCAGGGAACCAGAATGACCAGAACAAAGCCCTGACCTCAACCCTACTGAACGTCTTTGGGATGAATTGAAATGTCCAACTGCAACCAGGTCTTCGCATCCAACATCAGCACCTGATCTCACAAAAGCTCTTTTGGCTGAATGGACACAAATTCCCACAAACACTCCAAAATCTTGTAGAAAGTCATTCCGGAAGAGTGGAGGCCTTTCTAGTCACAAAAGGGAAGGTGGACAATTCTATACTAATGCCCATTGGGTTGGAATGTGATGTCCAACAAGCTCATATTGGCGTGATGGTCAGGTGTCCACAAAATATTGGCCTTACAGTGTAGAAGACGACAGGGAGGACCGATTGGTCTTCTCCTATAACAAATATCATTATTGGATAAACGGGCCCTTTAAAAAGTGTCAGAAACAAATCATTGGTTGCTGCAGAGCAACACAAACAGTTCTGATCAGAGATGCAGTTCCAGTGTCGGTACCTTGAGGTCCAATCCCAGCTTGGTTCCAAATCGGATATTTCGAACAGCGTATGGAGACTGGCTCATGCTCTCCGATCCTCCGCACATGACGATCTCTGACTCCCGCAGAGCAATTTCCTGGGATAAAAAAAAAGAGGAGACGACATATTGTCATTTATTGTTATGCGAATGGCCTTTCCATTTCTACCTGCAGTCAGCCCTCACTTTTGTAAAACAGATCGAAGCTTTTCCCAGAGGTCTGCACAGGACGTAACGTGAACCAGCACTTCGTTTATTCCGGTAAAACTCTCCAGGAAATTGCTCGGAAAGAAACATTTTTTCCCCGCGCAGTAAAAGTTAAATTCCACGTTAAAGCCAAAGAACAACTAAAGCCTAGAATTGGGAAGGGTCAGAGTCTCTGCTAGGTTTTTATTGTTGTCCGAGTCCATATTGAGAAGGTTGCCCCTCGCTTCCTGCCGAGACAGGAAGTGATGAGAAATCTCTTCAACGGGGACACAGACCAAACAGCCAAGCGGAGCGGAGCTGCTGACATTGGTGGGAGGAGGGGAGAAGTGATGCAGCAACTGAGCTCATCCAGTTTCCTCCTCCAGAAATGCCTCCGCTAACCCTGCGCCTGGCAGTGACGCGGAAGCTCAACCCACCCCACTTCCCCTCTCAGCACTAACTTAGCAGCTCAGCAGCTAAGCTTACCCTGCTTCCCTTTTCCCAGAAGTATCCCAGCAGCTTAGCTCCTCCTTCTCCTAGCAATTATTCAGTAGCGCAACTCCCCCTCTCAAGGGTGGCACAGCAAGTCAGCTTATCCTGCTTCTTCCTCCCAGCAGTGATTCAGTAACTCCACTCCCCCTCCCAAGGGTGGCACAGCAAGTCAGCTTATCCTGCTTCTTCCTCCCAGCAGTGATTCAGTAACTCCACTCCCCCTCCCAAGGGTGGCACAGCAAGTCAGCTTATCCTGCTTCTTCCTCCCAGCAGTGATTCAGTAACTCCACTCCCCCTCCCAAGGGTGGCACAGCAAGTCAGCTTATCCTGCTTCTTCCTCCCAGCAGTGATTCAGTAACTCCACTCCCCCTCCCAAGGGTGGCACAGCAAGTCAGCTTATCCTGCTTCTTCCTCCCAGCAGTAACTCAGCTTTCCAACCCCTGAGCAGTGACTCAGCTGCTGCCTAGCTCATGATGCCAGCCTTCTAATCTGTAATGTAGAAAATAATGGATGGAGTGCAAAACTAATGAGAGAGCCAACCTATAAGACTTCTGTACTTTGGCATGAATTGCTCCACAGTGTCTGCAGTTGCAGAGGTCAGTGACGGCTTTTTTCAAAGCTCAAGCTTAAACAGGAGTAAGCAGCCGCAGCTCTTTGTCTCTCTAGAACGTTTCTGGCGCAGACAAGGCAGAGAAAGCAGAGCAGATCGCTTCTAATTAACAAAGGAAGTTGCACCCCCTTTGCTAAAAAGGACCAGGACCTGCTCCGTTTTTTCCATTTAGAAGAGTGGTGCGGTCCATTCTTGTAATCACATTACCACTCATCTAGGTGAGATCACTATGAACACTGATGTTGACCATTACCTGGCACCCGTTGACAACGGACTGGAAACCAGAACCGCACAGTCTGTTGACCGTCAGAGCCGGAACAGGAACGGGGATGCCAACACGGAGGCCTATGTGTCTGGTCAGGTAGATGGCGTCGCTGGCGGTCTGGAACAATAAATGCAGATTTATGTTAATGGCGGGCGTTCAGGAACACAAAACAGTCAGATCCACTTCTATACAGCTACTACATCCAGGATTAGAAGACATGAAAACGTCTCAGCACAAGAATAATGACAATAGAACTATTGTAGGTCCAATACAGGATGTCTGAACAGAGGAAAAATAAAATACTCAGAGGAGCTGCTTTGGACCCGCCATGCCATAAATAAAAGAGCCGACAGTACATTGCCCAGTCATGTCTCCATCTTTGTATTGCCCCTGTAGTACATATTCTTCACCACAAGATGTCCTCAACCTCCCAACCAACATCACCCAAACCAGAAGACCAATGACAGGTGGTGTCATGGCCCCACGTTCCAGTGCTGTCCATCTTTTCCAGCGCCACCATTTTTTTTCTGGTTTAACCCCTTCATGACAGCTTGTTTTTGGTTTCTGTTCGTAAATGACTGACACACTTTTGACATTTTTGCTGTGTGATTCTTCCACGTCAGTAATATACTTTCTTACAAAGTGCACCCACACATATTATATATTGTTTTTTAGAGGACAGATAGGGCTATATATTTATATCACATATGTGTGTCTAACGCCTCACTTAGGACAAATACAAATTAAAAAAAAGAGGAAAAAAACGTAAAAAAAAACTTTTTTTCCCAGTTTTGATTTGTAGTATTTTGTTTTAACAAAACCAGCACAGCTAAAAAAAAATGCAATACATACATTCATTTATTTGTCCCTTATTTTTAATTTTTTTACACTTTTCACTTTTTTTATACTGACAAATTTTATTTATTTAATTATATCAGGCAGTCATTGTGAATTAATCTCACTATTACTGCTTGATAAATTAATACATTTTTTTTTTTATCAGGCTGCTTCAAACTTCAGAACAGCCGATAATAAGTTAGTGACACTGATCCTGCAGCAGTTCAGGATTCAGCTGTCAGTGAATGTTTCAGAAAACTTAAACATTCTACTTTCAAGAATAGATACATTATGTGTCTAATACATAACATTTTGTATCTATTCTTGAAAGTCAAAAGATAAAAAAAAAAAAAGCCAGTATAGCTTGAGAGAGATATCTCTCGATCTATACGAGCTGTCAGAATGCCGGCAAAAGCCGACATGTGTGTCTGCTTTGCTGTGACTCTCAGACACCCGATATTAAGGTATCGGGTGTCTGAAAAAGGTTAACCCTTTCAGTAATGGATCTCTAGATAGTTAGACATCCATTACTGAAAGGTAACCGCTGATTCTCAGCGGTTAGCAGCCTTCTAGTGCAGCAAATAACTCGTCACGTACAGTGTACGTGACGAGTCATTTGGTCCCTTTGTGGCTGGACGTACAGTGTACGTCTCCCGTCACGAAGGGGTTAAATGACTGCCAGTGTCATGTGACACGGTGGGCACCATACATGGCTTCGTTTTCTCTCGTTCAACAATGTCGATGGAGGAATTACCACTGCTGCCTATTGCATTTAGAAAGCTGCACCACCAGCAGTTTCCTAAACACAATGGAGTGATTTTATCGAAACTGGAGCAGACCAAATCTGGAGCAGATTTGCACTGCAGCCAATCAGCTTCTTTGTCTCATTTTTAAATCTTACCTGAGCAAACTGAAGAGAGATGCTGATTGGTTGGTGTGGAGTTGGGTGGTGCTGACAGGGCCAACTATGAATTCCTGCCAATTCTAAAAAAAAAAAACTGACTGGAATTAGAGCCGTCTATGGGGGGCATTCAAGAACAACTCTGGGCATTAGTGGGGCTACCCCTGGAACTACAAGGGTTAAGTGCTTATGGGTCTAAAATAAAGAAGGGACACTCTCCTGATTCTTGGACCCATGGTGTTGACCATTCACCTCCCCCCCCCATTGCGTTGGATCTGGAATGTGCATTGGCGTCCTCGCATCCAATGCAAGTCAATGGACGTGCACACTGCTGGAGCCTATCGGAGAAGAGGCTGTGGGGACCAGTCTAGCAACCAGGCAGGACCAAAGGACAAGTATATCGTTTTATTTTAGACCCTGGACCAGGGCTGGGCAGTTTATTTTATCAGGGGAAACTGGGATGGCTGTGGAGGGTCGAACAGATTAACACACGGTATTGCGCAATGCAGCAACCATGCGTTACAGTGTGGCAGGTGCGTTGCAGTTCATTTAAATGGCACCCCAAATGCACCTCTGCAATGCAACTGACCGCGCCGTACCACGATACCGTGCTTTGTGGTTAAAAAGTAGTGCATGCAACGCACCTGCCGCACTGTAACAAGCAGTAGTCGTTGCTGGGTGGGAAACTACATGTGCCAACCCCACGCACATTTCGGTTTAGTCCATGGGCATGAGTGGTGATGAGGAGGACCCCTGACGTCATTGGTTGCCAGGACCTCCCAGTGGTCCTAGCAACCACTGACTGCAGTTGCCTTGACTTATTTTTCACAGATATACCATGTGACCTGGATGAATGAGAACCTTCATAGGACATATGCACATTAGAGATTACAAAGACATGGGCCGAGCAGTACAACCATTGTGACAACATGGCCTACTGGGAAAGCTGCGCTAGTTCATACCTGAGCGACATTTCCGAATATCACGCTGTCCACTGCGTCAGGGGCCACATTGCCGGCAGCAAGTGCGGCCTTTGCTGCGATCTCTCCTAATTCTGTTGCCGAGTGATCCTTCAGAATCCCCCCGAAGGTGCCAAACGGGGTCCTCTTAGCGGCAACGACAAAAATACCTACAAAGCAAAGACACAGAATATCAAATAAATCATCAATATATCTGATCACAATCTCCCTTAGATCGTCCAATAACAATGCAGAGCTGAGACCTTCATGAACAGATACAAACCAATATTATCATAAAAGAATGAAGGAAAAGTCGGCCACGACAGCCGGGCAGCTGCCGAAGGAGAGGTCGGCCATGAGAGCCAGGCATTTCCCGAAGGAGAGGTCGGCCATGACAGCCAGGCAGCTCCCGAAGGAGAGGTCGGCCATGACGGCCAGGCAGCTCCCGAAGGAGAGGTCGGCCATGACAGCCAGGCAGCTCCCGAAGGAGAGGTCGGCCATGACGGCCAGGCAGCTCCCGAAGGAGAGGTCGGCCATGACAGCCAGGCAGCTCCCGAAGGAGAGGTCGGCCATGACAGCCTCTAGATTTCACTTGCGACATGCTGCAGCTTCTAATGCGCATGTGAGAAGCTCGCAGTGTGCATTGAAATCAGAGGAAGCAATTACAATCCAGGAAAGGAGTCGGTACAACTGCGCAAGACTGAAGGGGAGGTCAGAGTTCAGATTTAAAGATTTGACTGGTTGACTTTAAATGAGAAAAAAAACAAACACCTCCTCACCCCACATGTTGTATTAGAAGCCGGGCCCCCAGTCTGTACAAAAAACTATAGTCTGTACACAATTGCTGCGTCATTCGTGTTCAAGGGTCAACTATCCTTCCAAAGGTCGGCACACTCTAACCTGCTGGCTATGAAGTGCAGACAAGCCTGTGTTGCACATAGCAACCAAACGACAGCTTTCATGTAATGTAAACATGGAAGGCGGACTCAAGTTGCTATGGCAACAAAGAACAATTCCTCCCCTCCCCGTCTTTTTAAGATGTCTTTAGGATAAATCTGACCCAAACACCTTCCTGCAGGTGTAACGCAAAGAAGCGACAAAGCGGCGAGTGTGTGCTAATGTTGGGCTGCCACATATTTGCGTATAGCTGGTGCACCGTACTGTGCTGAGAGCACACTCACAGTTCCTGCTTACAATTGGGAGCCGGAGGGACCGGCTCCCAATCATGTGACCATTGTGACAGCCAATCACAGTGATCATAAAGCCAGCCTTAAAGCACTGCTGGGAGCCGACGGTGCTGAAACCCCAACTCCGGCCCAGTGTGGAAGGGTTGGAATCTTTGTCAGGTTTTTGCTGCTGTCTGCATCTCCACTTGGGAGTTTTCTTCTCACTTGCACAGGATGGGAAGTGAGGACAAATCTTCCCATGGTTGTCAGGAGAAAAATCGCCTCCACACATGTTCCAGTGACATTTTAGTTGGCCTTAAGACGGAGCAAACCTTGGCCAGCCCCATGACTGGGTGAGTGCCACGCAGCCAGCCCCCATGACTGGGCAAGCCAACGTCATGGCCGGGCAAGTGCCAGCCAGCCCTCATGACTGGGCAAGCCAACGTCATGGCCGGGCAAGTGCCAGCCAGCCCCCATGACTGGGCAAGTGATAGGCAGCCATCCCCCATAGGCAGCCATCCCCCATAACTGGGCAAGCCAACGGCATGGCCTGGCAAGCACCAGTTAACCCCCATGACAGGGCAAGCGCCAGCCAGCTCCAGCTGCTTCACTGGGATGGCAGACTCGGGGTGCGGTGAAAATCCTATGGGGTGATTTCAGACGTAGTATCCATAGAAGGGATCACCATCCTCTCCCACACAATTGTGGAAGACACCAGGATGGTACAATCGCCTTCAGATCTACCAGCAGCCATACAGTGCGAGGGCTCGCCTGATTGGACAGAGAAGATCTCACATTGTAGGTTTGGTAAAGGAATTTGTTCCGAGTAGAAGCAATCAGAGCGCATGCCCAGTATTAGATGCATCAGGCCCATAGGTGACCAAAACTGGAAATGATTAAGGGTTTCTATTTTTCTGGCCACGGAGTGTACACGCCATCCCACACTGAGGACTCATCATAAACGCATCAGGAACTGTCTGAGTATGAGGACCGCGTGTTATACTGATCCCCCAGCTGTAGGAGAGTCGGAGGCATCACGCCAATAGAGGTCTCCACCAATAAATCTGTACCACCAGTGGTGTATCAGTGTGCAGGGTACATGGGCCCTAGGGAGGGATGGGGCCCATTGCACACATTAGGGATATGGGTCAGGTAGGGGGTTCCTTGGTTTTTACACATTTTCGCCCCCAAGCATAGGGTCCCCTCCCCCATTGTTGGTTGCATGGATGCTGGTGGCCCCTTTAAGACCCTCCTACTGTTAGCGCAATCTGGACACACCCACCACATGGTACTGCATGAAGAGTTCATTAGTATGTGAGGGGGGTGTTAGCAAAATGTACACATGTAGGGGGCTGGAGTGTGGCCCCGATTTCCCTTGTTGGGGCCTCATGAGGACCCAACTTATGATCACCTCCCCCCCCCAGGAAAGGGGGCAGCAGCCACCACCTCCACCCCCCTGGGGGAAAGAGGGCAGCACCCACCACATCCACCCCCTGGGAAAGAGGGCAGCACCCACC